ATTGAATTTTGCATATCCCGTTCCCACGGCATCCGAAATGAGAAACATTATGAAAATTTTGCACAGTTATTTAGACGGACATTCTAATGCCGAAATGAATAGCAAAATGGGTGACGTCTAACAATTTGTAGACAATTTGATGCTGAAAAGATAATGCAAAGAAAAATACCAGATTATTTTCCAAAATCAATAAATGTTTTGTTTTTCCAAAAACTTCAAAATTTTGTATTAAATTTCGTTGTGAATGCTTTGTTTCCTTGCTTTTTAATAAATATATGTAGCAATACATTATATATGCAAATAATATACTCTAATGAACTAAATTTTGTTAAAATATGTTTTTTGTGCAATATCCTTTAACCTCTTATCTACCGCATTATGATTTACTATATTTTTCACGCAATATTTTTTTTATGAATCAATACATTGAAAATTAAGGTATATACATAAACAAAATACTCAACTTTGGTAAATTTAATCCTTCAGAGCTAATTAATTAATTAAAGATATTCAAGTGTAAAATAATTACATACACTGTTCTTAAAATAATAGTCAAGTCGTTTTCTAAGATATTCATTAACTTACAAAAAAAAACTAAGCCACTTACCTTTTGATATTAACTACTTTTTCGGAACAAAAAGACAATCTTAGCAATCCGATCAAAATCTCAACTGAAAATGCAACTTCTGCTATAAAACTATTCGCCTTCCTCACTAAAATACTCATAATCGAACCCATGCTGCCATATATCTTGGAAGAAGGGATTTAAAAGAATTTTCCTGCAAAGTATCATCAGGGTAATTCGTTAAAATGGTTATATATACCGTCGGTAAATAAAGGGTTAACACGAAAAAATTTTTCAGTTCCCTCAATTTTGTGTTAAAGGATTTTTTCACTGTATTTATTTCACAAAGGATAGTCAAGAACTCTCAACACAAGTATTGTCATATAAAAATCTCGAGTCATGACTTGCGCCAAAAGGAATTCGAAACTTAAAATCAAATTAAACGAATCCAGACCATTCAATTGAGATTCAGCTGCACCACACACACACACAGAGCGAACGGCTGTAGACAAGGGAACATATATCCAGCACATTCAAATACGACTTCTGCAGTCAGTAAATTAAGAGGCCCTATTACGATTCGCACGAGCTAATAGATTAACTTATAAATAAGAAAGAATCCAAGGGGAGATTTGGGGAATATATCAGGTGTAGTGTGTTTTTTGTTCCTAAAAGGATACTTTGCCGGGTAATTGAAAGCAGGGAATCCACCATAGTGATGGATAGGCTAATCTTGAAAATCCCTCCTAAAAGAAGATTATTTTTCTGTTCTTTTTTATTCTTGGGTTAAAAGTGATGGATGGGATAGAAGGACTTTGTGTCCATTGTTAAGTGAGTTGACTTTTAGATGTAAGTCTTTTGTTATATGATGTTTAATAGGAATGGGCCTTTGCGTAGATATAGGCTATACAGATTATATATTGATTGTGAGGTTGTGTGAATTTGAATTTTGTGTATTGACTCAAATAAGAATACATGGATTTATTTTTCAATTCCTACTTTTAGTTTTTACGCTCTCCATATATATATATATATATATGGGAAAAATGACTACAACCTAATAATGATAAATGCTTTATTGAACAAAGTGAAGGATGAAATATTTAAAATATATTAAACACCAAAGGAGAACGTCTTCCTCCTACGTCTAGAGCTTAGCGTCTCTAACGTCCGTCTGCTCATTTCCCGTGTGTCCTTCAGTCGGACATTCCTGGCGGGGTGTGACGTCAGTGTGGACTACTCCACCCTAAGTACAGGGAGAGGGGTTGTGACATCGCACATATCCAACCCTACATCTATATATATATATTATATATATACATCTATATATATATGTATATATATATATATATATCTATATATATATATGTATATATATATATAGATATATATATATATATATATATATATATATATATATATATATATATATATATATATATATATATATATATAAGTGGATGTTTATATATGTGAAATCACATCACTCCAACACCGTTCAACCGATCACTATGAAAATTAGCTATGTATATGTATTTTTTTTGTGGGGAATGATTTTTTGCTATCATCTCTGTTGCAGCTCCCCACCAGGTAGCGCTACATCAAAGCAACTGCTGCACCGTTCAATCAATCGCTAAGTTGCCAACGTGGTAGCTAAAAATGATACCACTGACATATCACCAACATTTCGCATTATGTTTAAATTGAGAATCGCCATTATAATGTAAGGAACGGCGTTGCTTGCGAATAGTATAATTTCAACATAAAATAAATACAAAGATAATAGTATTAACGTATTACACATCCAGATATAATTATTTACACTATTCTACTCTAAGCTTTCATTACACAAAATTTGTAACAATGTGTTACTTTTGCTAAGCAGAGATTAACTTAGGAAAGTGTCTTCAAAAATCGACACTCAAGAGAGTTACGGAGTGTTATAAATATAAAAAAATTCTTTTTATCAGCTAATAGATCTTCAGACATTTAATTTAACAAATATGGTTTTTTTTTGTTCAGGTGAGATAACTAAAAAGCTTTTTTGTTGTTTTAATTTGCAACTTACGTAAAATTAACTCATTAGAAACTTCCTTGTCCTTCAATCTGTATAGTTTAATCTTTTAATTCACCCGTGTGAAGAACGCGTAATACCAGCTAGTATATATACGTATATAGTATATTGTTTATATATCTTGTTAAATTTTTCAATCGTTAACAAAATACTTTCTATTTATCAATTCAACGTACAAATACATTTTTTAAACTTGTTGTGAATGACACTTGATGTTAATACAGTTTTTTTTCAAATGTTAATTCATTAATTAAATTAAAAAATGAATAAATAGTAACAAACAAAAATAATCGTTCGAACAGCATATATAGAGAGGAAAATCATTCGTTGTGTCCCTGTAGCGCCAATGAATTGCGCTTTGGATTTTAAATCCAAAGGTCGAGGGTTAGAACCCACCTGGGATGGCTTAATTTCTGAGAATGGGATTTTTCACTTACTATACCCTTTTATTGGAATAATAAAAGTTAATGAATGAGTAAATAGTAACACAAAAAGTATAGTCTAACACCATATATAGAAAGAAAAATGAAAAAAAGCCCCCATTCTTTTTAAATTTGTCACTTAATATTGTGGATCTGAATTATGTATATACATATTTATATTGATTGCAACTATTTAATAAAAAGTATGTAAAACAAAATTTGTCTATGTTGTCCTAAGTAGTAATTGACTTAATTTTTTTTTACATTACTTGTTTTATGTGAATTTTATATATTCATCTCTGTAAAATTTGAATAATTCACATTCCTTTCACAAAATCTGACTTTAATTTTGATTATGATTTATATTTTTAAATGAAGCCATTGTCCATGTAGGTATTTTTCCTTCCATTTAAGCAATTCTTTTAAACAGTACTACTATAAATATGGATAATATATATATATTTTTTACTTTTAAAAATTATTTTCTTAAAAAAAGGTTACAATTATTATATTCATAATTTTTTTCGATATAACCATATTTTACCTTCAAATAACTATCTTTCGTTTTATTCTTTATATTTTTGTATTAAACAAGGAACTATATGATTAATATGAACTAATTATACTGAAGGAAGATTGCTAATGATACTTGTAAACATGAAGAAAAAAAAACTTAATGTCTAGTCTCAGATATAAATTAATAACTTTATAATAGTACTGATGAAAATTAAAGCTTCAAGGAAAAAAAATTATATAAAGGAAAAGGAAAGAAAATACCAAGGGAAAAAAGATTTCTTTCCTTGGTTTATAATTGCTTCAATTAACTATAATTCACAATGGAAAAAGTACTTTTTTTGTCAAAATAATAAAAAGAAATAAATTTTTGAAAAGAATTTAATTACTGCCCATTGGAATACAATTAAATAATTATAAAATGATGTTTATTTAAGTATAATTTAAATTCTCAAACTTGCTTAAAAATTGAATTCTAATATATTGGCATGATTAAAAAATTTCAAATGAGTAAGAACATGTCATACATAAAATAGTCTATGATTTACTTTAAAGAATATGATAAAAAAAGTTCAGTGTAATTTAATTTTTAGTTATTTATTGGTAAAGTATAAAATTTATCCACAAATACATAAGATAATAATGACTCACACACACTCATCATTTGATTTCTGGAAAAAATAGATATATAGATTCAAAATTCGGCATGTAAGTTTCTTTTATTAAGAACTGTTTTGTGTAAATTATGTCTCAAGGCAGGAAGTGCTATAAAGACGTAAAAGATAACGTATTTATTTATTTATTTACATACAGTGAAAATAGTTTAACAAGAAAACTGAGAGGACTGAAATATTTTTTCGTGCTAAAGGATATTGCAAGAAAAATATATATTCAACAAAATTAAGTTTATTAGACTTCATTTTATTTACATAGACGTGTATATACGCATGTATTTAATAATAATGAAACAAAAAGATTCGCAAGAACTTAATGAAATTTAATACTGAATTTTCAAGTTTTTTGAAAAATAAAAATTTTATTAAGTTTTTGGTAAACAATCTGACATTTTTCTCTGCATTGTCTTTTTTAGCATCAAATTGTTAGGTGACGTCCCTGTTTTTATTTATTTCATCATTTGAATGTGAGTCTATATATATATATATATATATATATAATATATATATATATATATATATATAAATAACTGCGCATGCTTTTTATGACTTCTTTATATTTCATTTCATTTTCGTCTTTTTTTAGTTTAAACAAACTCCGAAATGTTTTTGTCTGTTATAATTGGGGCTGCACATACATCATCATCATCTACAGCAACGAGTTCTTCCGATAATACAGTAGGGCAGTCCAATAATACAGAAACTTTCTTGTATATTTCATCACGTGTCTTATGTTTTCAGTATTTTGTTCATTCCCAGAGCAGAAATCTTTTCGTGTTAATCTTTTCGTTCGTTTCGTGTTCGTGTTCTTGTTAAAAGGAAAAATGTATGAAAATGTGTAGTAGTTCGTCGGGATCGTTCTGTTTATTCCATGTTAACCGATATCTCGTCTAAAGCGTTTTCGCGTTAAGCGTATTCCACTGCATAATAATGCTTAAAATCCACAGCTTAAATTTTGACGGGCACATTTCTTTTGTTGAGTAGGCATCCGCTATGAACGGGTTCGTAGAAATCGTCTCCCACAGTGGAGTTGAAAATAATGTAAAAACTGATAGATAGATGAACTTAGAATATACAGGTAAATTCAGCTATATTGACGATTGATTTTTCTAAATTTATTTGTTCTCTGAGTTTAATTTCTTAGAATTATTCAAAATATTAATCAAATTTTGCATTAATATTTTCTGTATCTTACTATCTTAAATGTTATATTTTTTTAAATTCAACCCGTGGAAAGAGCTAGTATATTTCTTAGGTATTGTAAAAAAAAAATAGTACGATTAATTATTCTACACGCAAAATCATATGTAGATCTCTTTGACGTTTTTGAATATATTTAATTATCAAACTATATTTATAAGCAAATATAACTTTTTTAAATTGTGGGATGGTACAAAAAAGAAATATTTGTACTACAATATAATATCATCCAAATTTACTTTGTTTTATATAAAACGAGTGCAAAATATGAAACTTTATTTTACATTTCTAGTAACTAATTTTAAACCTTAATGAATCAGTAAGTGTTTCATTGAAGTCACTCTATAAGGAAGGCTATAAGGGCTAGTAGTGGCGGGCCTTGTAGTTTTGAATCTCGATCAAGTGACGAAGACGACAGAGTTGGTAACATCTTTCCAAACTACCACACCACGATAACGTGAGAATTTTTTTAGCCTCGACAGATTTAACGTGTATCAGCCCTCTACAAGTTGAGTCTTCAATATTACTAGGGCTGGAACACACGACAGGCCTGCACAAGTTCGTAACCATGACCACTAGGCCACTATGGCAACTAAGCCTTATTAAGAAGTCACATTAGTTTTTATTTATTAACCCCCTAAGTGCCACCGACGCATATATCCGTCTTGTTCAACCAGTGCTTTAAGTACCCGGACGTATATATACGTCTGTCCGAAATACCATTATTGTCTTTGTGCTTCTATCAGTAAAACTGTTCCGAAGGCCTTAATATGCAATAAAATGACCTTGACATTGTTGAAACGAGTTTAAATCCCTTCTACCCTGTGACCCAGATAAAGGAGTGGAAGGAATTAAAGGATCATGTACGATATGATAAATTCCAATTATTTTATTTGTCACTATAATCATTTCAAACACAATTAACACTTTAAATAGGATAATTCAGTCACGCAATAGAGAGAAGAGAGGAGATTCGCGTGTTTGGGGAGAATATGTTAAATACTGCGGCTCTTCTCCTTAATATTACTTTACACAGAGCTTACATATTTAATGTCCTCACTATACTTTAACACTCTAAACATCAATTTAATATAAGATGACAGTAGCAGAAATTATATGCAGTCTTCTACTCAATCCAACTAGACTCTAACACTTCTTGGTTATAATCTCTTACAAGGATTAAACCAATTCTGGTAAGCTTCACCTTATAATTATCTTGTCACCTCTTGTTAACTAAACTTCTGATTTTCTTACTTTTTGTTTACCTATTCCCTTCACTGCCAAATCACTAATTATGCACTATTCACTTCACTTCTAAACCATTTACAATTCACTAACCCTTAAACCCGTGAAGAAGAATTATATATAAAAAAACTTAATTTGCATATCACGTTTCCATCTTTTAGGAGAAGATTGGTTAAAATTTGCTGGCCCAAAAGAATACCCAAAAGGACTGTTAGTGGAAGGTCGCGTATAGATCCGTCCCAGTGTTAGCCAAGAATTTACTTATTTCAGAGAAAAATTTGCATATTTGTGCCTTTCCTTTCCTCTCCAATACATGGCATATGGCGGCCAATATGAAAAACGGTGGCACTGTGGAGTTCATCACGCTACATATAATCGGCAGTTAAAGGATTAATATTACTTGTATTATTACAATATTTTCCTCTTATGCCTTACAAAAAAGTGGAATCCGTGAAAAAAATCTAAGGGGAAAAAACCGGCATTTATCTAAAATTGCTTTGATTTTTCTTTATATACGAGATCTGTTCGTAACAGGAAGAACTCCAAAAAATAGAACTTCAGAAAGTATTACATAGAATTGCTATTATCAAATCTGACCTTAACGATTGTCCTCGCACCTGACAAATAGGAACAGACGACACATTCCTGAAAGATTGAGTGCAGAAAAGAATAATCGAATCTTAACCGTGAGGTCTGCAGCCGATAATCCCGCCCCTTAATCAACAATAATAACTAAACAAAATCCCATAACTCAAGCCCCAGCGAAGAACAAAAACACAAACATTATACGATCAAAAAAAGAAGAAAAAGCAAAAAAAGGTGAAAAACCACTTTGGAGCAATTGGAAGTTGAAGGGTTTTTCCTTCGAAAAAGAAAATAAAGGAAAGGATGGAAGATTCCTAGAGGGGTTGCCCACCCCTTCCAGCTACCCATCTTCCCCTGAGTGATGCTGGAACGAAGACAGATAGTCTCTGTCGTCTGCGAAAAGGGAGATACAGGGTGGTGGCTGGTTATGACAGATTTGCTTTCTTCAATATGTTCCATGGGCGTCAAGACGTTCGAATGAAAGGGAGTGGGGAAAAAATCATAATAAAAAACGACTAAAAACTGAAGTACACCTAAAAATGATAATAAGAGGTGGTGATAGTCTTCAGATCCAAAAGAATTTCATGTTTTTTTTTATTAGTGTGATATTTAACAGTGGATGGAGATTGGGATTTCGTATTTTTTTTTAAAGAGGAATTTTAGAAGATTGCTTTTTAGAACGCTTTTAAATTCTCATACTCTTGCTTGTTTTCCTTAAAAAAACTGGAAGTTTTCTGTTTTTGATGAAATCTATACGTCTCATTT